GGGAAAAGCTGAAGTAATTTCCTCTAAGATAACAATCCAAGGATGCTCACTTTCACCATCAATTTAACACATTACTAGAAGTCAAATTATCCCTGTTGGCAGATGACATGATTTTATATATAGAAAAAAACTAACTATTTCACCACAAAGAAAAACTGATAAACTAATAAATAGATTCAGTATGGTTGCAGGATACAAAAATCAACATGTAAAAATAAGTAGCTTTTTTATACAAAAATAATGAAATTGCTGAGAAATACAAAGAAATACCATTCACAGTAGCTACAAAAAAAATCTAGGAATAAATTTAACCAAGGAAATGAATGATATCTACAATGAAAATTACAAAACACTGATGAAGGAAATTCAAGAGGGCATTAAAAAATGAAAAGATATCCTATATTGATATATCAGAAGAATTAATATTGTTAAAATGTCCATATTACAAAAAGTGATCTACAGATTCAATGCAATTCCTATAAAAACAGCAAAGACATTCATTGAGGAAATAGAAAAAAATCTTGCAGTTTGTGTGGAATCACTAAAAATCCCAAATAGCCAAAGCAATCCTGAGAAAAAAGAACAAAGTTGTAACCATTACCACGCCTAACATATTATAGCCTGCTCAGCAGTACACACCTATAATCCCAGTAGGTCAGGAGGATGAGGCAGGAGGATCCTGAGTTCAAAGCCAGCTTTAGCAAAAGCAAGGCACTAAGCAACTCAGTGAGACCCTGTCTCTAAATAAAATACAAAATAGGGTTAGAGATGTGGCTCAATGGTCAAGTGCACCTGTGTTCAATCCCTAGTACCCGCACCAAGAAAAAAAAAAAAAAAAAACATCCTACAAAGCCATGGTAACTAAGACAATATAATACTGGCATAAAAACAGACTTAAGAGAGCAACAGAACAGAATAGAGAACACTGAAATATATCCATGTAATTACAACCAAATAATTTTCAACAAAATAAGCAAGAATATATGCTGGAGAAAGGAAGTCTCATCAATAAATGGTGCTGAGGAAACTAGATATCCATATGCTTCCAAAAGAAACTAGATCACTATCTCTCACCATACAAAAAAAAATCAACTCAAAATGATCAAAGATTTAAATGTATGACTCAAAACTATGAAACTATTAAGTGAATACAGAGAAGAAACACTTTAGGACATTGGTCTTAGCAAAGATGTTTTTGGACATCACCACAATAGTATAGGAAGTAAAGATAAAAATTGACAAATGGGATTGAATCAAAGCAAAAACATCTGTATAGCTAAGGACACAATCAACAGAATAAAGACAGTAAACAGACAACCTACAGAATGGGAGAAAATATTTTAAAACTATTCTTCTAACAAGGGATTAACTTCCAGAATTTGCAAACTCAAACAGAAAAAAAAAAGTCCAACTAAAAAACCAGCAAATAGCCTGAATAAACATTTTTCAAAAAGTGATATTCAAATAGCCAACAAGTATATGAAATAATGTTCAAAATAACTAATCATCAAGAAAACATAAATCAAAGCCACATTGAAACATCTCACCCCAGTTGGGATGGCTATTATAAAAAAGACAAAAAATAATAAGTGCTAGTAAGGATACAGATAAAGGAAAACTCACACACTGTTTTGAGGAGTGTAAATTAGTGTACCTACTATGGAAAACAGTTTCAAGTTTCCTCAAAAATTTAGAAACAGAACTTCTATATGATCCAGCAATTCCACTACTGTAATTGCAATCAGTATGTCAAAAAGACATTTGCACCACCATGCTTACTACAGCATTTTTCACAATAAGCAAGATATGGAATAAACCTAAGTTTCCATCCACAGAAGAATGAATAAAGAAAATGGATACACACACAATGGACTATTATTCAGTCACAAAAAGAATGAAATTCTATCATTTTCAGCAACAGGGATAGATCTTAAGTTAAAAAAATGCAATCAGAGAAAAACAAATAATGCATGTTCTTATGTACAGGTTGTGATAGTTAATTTTGGTTGTCAACTTGAGAAGATTAAGACATGCCTAGAGAACTAGTAAAGCATATTTCTGGGTGTGTTCATGAGGTGTTTCCAGAAAAGATTGGTGTATGTGTCAGTGAACGCAGTGGGGAAGACCTGCCCCACATGTAGGCAGCACCATCAAATAAGCTAAGGGCTAGGGATATAGCTCAGTTGGTAGAGTCCTTGCCTCACATGTACAAATCCCTAGGTTCAATACCCAGTACCACTAAATAAATAAATAAATACTAGCTGAGGGCTCAGATGAAACAAAAGAGCAGAAGAAGGGGAAACCAGCTCTTGTTCAAACTTTCCGTTTTAGAGTGTGTGTGTTTCTCTGATGCTGTCACCCACAGACATCAGAGTCCAGGCCCCTCAGCCTTTCAATACAGACTTGCACCAATGGTTCTCCATGGGGTTTGGGGGTCTTTGGCCTTAGACAGGGTCTATATCATTGGCCCCTCTCTTGTTCTAAAGCTTCCAGTTTCTTGGACTGATAAATTACTGATTTCTCTGGCTATCCACTTACTTTTCATCCTCTGATAATGTAAGCCAATCTAATAAAGTCCCTCTTATATATTATATTTGCATTAGACAGTGCTGATTATTGGATATGGAAAATGACAAACCCCAAAATAGTGTGGCCTGAGGAGAGGGGATGAAGGAGAAGGTAATATATTGATCCTTTCCCAATACATTCTTTCCCAGTGACAAGACAGGCTCCAGGAAGGAGGTATCCATCAAGTCTGGAATGACAGTCTCTGAGAAGAGGCCAAAGCATTAATCCTTCCCCAAAAAAATCCTTTTCCAGATTCTGACTGCTGACCCCAGACCCTCCATCTGGCCCAGTAAAGACAAATCCCAGATATTGACCACTGACCCCAGACCCCCAGTAAGAACAGATCTCAAATTCCTGAGTGCCCAAACTGACACACTCATTAATTAAAGTCACCTTTCAGTGTAACCTGCATAAGCATAAGCTCCCCCTTTGGTCAGTGGCTCATTTTCCACCAGGAAAGTGGGTCCATCAGAGGCATGACTTATTCCTGAATAAAGGCTTTTGCTGATATGATAAAGTTTGCATCCGGCCCAGTCCTTTTGTGCTAACATTTACTAAAACTAGAATGCTTGCCAATTTAGCACTAAAGTCATGACACGTCTATAAAATACCCAAATGTTAGTCAAACTACATGGATAATAGGAGACCCAGAGGTATGTTTCTTTGCAAAGTCCTTACTTGAAAAGTTTTTTTCGTGATGATTTGCAGGGCTGAAATATGTAAGAACAGCATAGTAATTGGTGGCATAGAATTTAACTATAAATTAATAAGTTAATATTAGCTTTAGCACATGCTGGAGCCAGTACATACCATTCATAGTTCACAAGAGCCAACTGTCCAAAAATAATGCAAGCTAATTAATAACATTATAAAAAACACATTAAAAACAAAACAAAGTATGTAGCTCCGTGGACGAAAAAACAAAAGGAATGATGTACTACTGATTCATGCTATAATATGGATGAACCTTGAAAATATGCTAGTAGAAAAAAGCCAGTCCCCAAAATCTACATATTATACAATTACACTGACATGAAATTTCTAGAAAAGGCAAATCCATAGAGACAGAAAGTAGATTAGATTAGTGGTTGCCTAGGACTGGAGGGGTAGGGGAAATAGGGAATGACTGCTAATGGATATGGAGTTTCTTTGGGAGATAACAAAAATGTTCTAAAATTTACTGTGATGATGGCTGCACAACTCTGCAAATTTACTTAAAAGCATTACATTGTACACATTAAACAGGTGAATTATATAATCATGAATTATATTTTAATAAATCTCAAAAAAAAATCCATAGGGGCTGGAGGTATATCTCAGATGGTAAAGTGCTTGTCTTATATGCATAAAGCCCTGGGTTCAATCCCCAGCACCACCAAAAAAAAAAAAAAATCCAAAAGACACTCTTTCTCTGTTGTCCCACATATAGGTTCCTGGGTCCCAGTTCAGTGGGGAACCACATTAGAAAAACAAGACTCACCAGCTCCTCTGGAGACCTGATTAAAAGAGAATTTTTGAGACCTGCTGCAATTTCTGAGGACCCACCAAACTAGAGGCCACCAAAAGGAGTCATTTAGGCTATGTCTGTTCCACAGGTATGTTTAATTCTGATCAGCCATTTGAAAATCATGAGATATCACAGTTTTTTTTAATACACATTCCCAATGTTTCATGCCATTACAAGATGACAGCCCAACCTGGTGCCCATGATCAGCTTCAGGCTGCAATGGCAGCAGACACAAGCTCCCCATAGCTCCCTGTCACCTTCCTTCCACTGAGTCTGAGAGCCCATTACCTTTATGGAAAAAAAAATTGTATCCTCCATCCAAAACAGAAAACAAAGACTGAGAAGCTTGAGAGTTTCAGGGAAAATGGGTGCCATCAGAGAGCTCTATGGGAGTGAACATCTTCTTGTTTCACAAACTAAGTAAGTCTCTGTCCAAAGAACCAGTTTTTCCCTATATGTACCAGCCTCTCTTCCATGTGGCCTGCCTGGCCCCAGTAAGTATGGAAGGCTACATATAGTTCCTGTGTTAAATTCTAAGTTCCAGGAAGGCAAGACCACATCTATTGTCTGGCTCAGAGTTAAACTCTGCAGCTAACACAAATCTGGCATAAAATAAAGCAACTTGTAACATGCAATGTGAGGAGGAGGGGGACAAACACAGCCAAAGCCCATGTTCTTGGGTCATTCAAGCTTGCAGAAGCCACTTAAAGCCAAAAAATAAGTGATCCCAGCAATTCTTCCCCCTCACCCCACCCTCTTTTTACATACAGCCTATTATCCCAATCATGCTGAATTCAAGGGAAAGATTAGCCCTATGAGGCTGCCACAAGGTGGGAAGAGAAAAGGTCTTGGTGAGTTATGTGGGTTTTCTAAGCCTGAAACTACCAGGCCCACACCACCCCTCCAGCACAGTGCTGCCACTTACGCTTTATGAGGTATCCTGGGGAGTGGGCAGCGACAACGTGCAGGACAGTGCAGCCATCCTCATCCTTCTGGTTAATGCGGCCTTTCCATTCAGGCTTATGGTCCATTAACCACCTGAAAAGCTGGTTTTCCCCTAGAGGGAATTAAAATTGGTTATAGATGTTATTTTTTACATACATAAAATCAGCAAAGCAAATCAATGTGTGCCACACTAAGGTAATAAATGGTAAATCCAACATTTCCACTCACCAGAAACAGGTGTGGGGAGACACAGGAATGTGTAAATGGAAAACATGAATTACAGAAAGTTACTCATTTTAAGCTCAGGTCAGATTCCCTAAAAGCCTGAAACAGGGATTTTTATACATGTGATTTATTGGGGGAAAGTCAGAGATTTTTTTTCTCTATTATTTTCTTTTTTTATTATTATTAGTTGTTCAAAACATTACAAAGTTCTTGACATATCATATTTCATACATTTGATTCAAGTGGATTATGAACTCCCATTTTTACCCTATATACATATTACAGATTCACATCGGTTACACATCCACTTTTTTACCTACTGCCGTACTAGTATATGTTGTATTCTGC